CAAAACAAACATTTTTAAATATCTTCTTTCCTTCACTTAAACAATCAATTCAACTAATTACTTAACTTCTGGCAAGTCTTTTTTCCTTCATAAACCTTGTACAAATTAGCATATAATAATGCAAAAAAAAATTCCAAGATGTGCTAACAACCTCACAGCTGTTCGTTGCACAAATACGCCTGAGTCAAGAAAGTGATATATACATTATTATGTTCCCCAAACGAAGTTGGGGAACATATTGTTTTTACTCTGTTTCTTATTATTATTATTATTATTATTATTTTTCTTCTCGGGAAAATTTTGTCCGCGAATGATCTTGTAAAGTACACATCCGATTAAGGGGAAACCTTTTTAGGGTAAGTAGGTATGTTATGTAGATTTGCGGAATCAAGGTCATTTTGCGCGCACGTGCTTGCAAGAGCGCGCACGTGCAAAACTTGAAATGACCAATATATAATGGATATAACCGTAACTTTTCTATTTTTAGACGAAATGTTTTGAAACTCAGAATGTAAGGATATATGAGTAGTATGCACAAGATGACATGGTCAAAATAGCAAGATCGCACGTGCAAGCACGTGAGCTTCGCTCTGATTGGCTGAAACTAAAGTCTCAATATCTTTCTTGTTTTTTGATAAAATCATTTGAAATTTTGAACATAGTCATACATTAGGGAGATCTACAGCCCGTAATAAAAGAAATATCATGAAAGCATGTGCATGCACGTGTGCTTGCAAGAGCTCGCACGTGCAACACGAGAAATGTCCAATATAATTGATACAGACGTAACTATTTAAATTATTGATGATATGCTTTAAAACTCATATTAGAAGTATATATTAGAAGCATAGACAAGATGACATGGTCAAAAAAGCAAGATCTCACGCGCATGCACGTGCGCTTTGCTCTGATTGGCTGAAACTAAAGTCTCAATATCTTTCTTGTTTTTTGACGAAATCCTTTGAAATTTTAAATATAGGCATGTATTAGGATATCCTACAATAAGATATATAGCAATTATTTTGAAAACGCGTGCATGCACGTGCACTGCAATCTGATTGGCTTATGCTTTAAATAGCTATAACTCCGTTGGTTTTCAACCAAACAGGATGGGATTTGGAACATGGATAGATATTATGGACTTCTACAAGAAGACATAGTCACCATGCACATGCATACACGTGCATGTACGTGCGCTGCAACCTGATTGGCTGAAACTTTGAACAGCTATAAATCCCTTGGTTTTCAACCAAACAGGGTGGGATTTAAAACATAGATAGATGTAATGGACTTCTACAAGAAAGTATAGTCGCCATGCTCATGTGAGCACGTGCGTGCACGTGAAATGAGTAAAATCAAAAATACACTTGAATTAGCGTATATTTTAATACGTTTGGATTAAATACTTTGATATTTAGTATATTAAAATCTATAGATTGTAAAGACAAGATTATATGTTCATTACGCACATGCATTCACATGCGCACGCGTGCAATGCTAAAATTTGAATGAAATTGGTACACTTCTGGGTAAACATTGTTAAAGTTTCAAATGCATAGAGTTTGTCTTATTTAATGAAGCTTATAGGGAATATGGCACCAAAAGGGAGTTGGGGAGCGTTTGGGGAACATCTGTAACGGTCCCCGTTACAATTAGCACTAGTTTGATGTCATTTACACGGAACGTCACAAACATGGACCAACACATTTAATTACAAACGCATTTTATAGAACAGTGTATGACTCTATGTCTGTCAGATTGTATTCTGATCTGAAATTTGGTTTTGTAATAGAGATAGTTTGTAAAATTATTAATCACCTCTCGAATTGTCAGTCTTCAAAATTTCACCTGAGTCAGTTGACTTAATCTGTCGTGTATCACACAAAAAATTGAAAATTTTCATTTTTAGATCACCTGAGCCGAAGACTCAATTGAGCTTTTCTGATCAAGATTTGTCCGTTATCTGTCGTTGTCGTCGTCGTTGTTGTTGGAAACTTTTCACATTTTCATCTTCTTCTCAAGAGCCACCGGGCCAATTTCAACCAAACTTGCTATAAAGTATCCTTGGGTTAAGGGGATTCAGGTATTTTTGAATGAAGGGCCACACCCTTTTCCAAAGGGAGATAATTATGAATTAGAGAAAAATTAATGGCGTTTATAAAAAATCTTCTTCTAAAGAACCACTGGGCCAGGAAAGATGAAACAAATGTTGATTCACCCTCAGGTAATGTAGATTAATATTTGTTCAAATCATTACCCCCGGAGGGGTTGGTTGGGACCAAAATGGCCGATCAAAGTTTTACATAGGAATATTGTTTAGGAAAATTCTTTAAAAATATTCTTCTTAAGAACCACTTGGCCAGGAAAGATGAAACTCATGTTAAATTATCCTCAGGTAGCGTAGATTCATGGCCCCCGGGGAGGGTGGGGGCAAAATGACTGACATAACTTTTACATAGGAATATATAGGAAAGCCTTTTAAAATCTTCTCTTTAAGTACTTCAAAACCATGATTAGTAATATTTAAATGTAATCATCATCAGGTAATATAGATTCTAGTTGGTTCAAATCATGATCCCTGGGGAGTTAAAATTCAAGCCCCCCCCCCAAGCCCCCAACCTCAGTAAACTTTTAGTTCTGATCTGATATGTGCTTTTTTTCTAGCTGATATGCTTAGTGTGAACACTGTGGCCCTTGGGCCTCTTGTCATAATTGCTTAGCCAATTTGCCCAGACTTGTGAGAAAGGGATTATTATTTGTTAAATTCATGGTTTCTGTTCCACAATTATCTGAAGTATGTTGGAAGTAATTCCAATAAAAGTATCAGAATTAGGCCATCATCGAAAAAAAATTACCACCTGGAGGGTTTCAGACACAAGGGGGAGGGATGTGAAATTCTTCCTTTTTTTAATGGATGTATAGTTTTGGATCTTTTATGTCAATCATGAGATGAAAAATCATTGATTCTAATCAGAAAAAATGAACAATCACGGCGGTACATAGCCTCTTGCTATACTTGATAATATCTTGTCATTTGAAATCATTGTTTTTCCCCAAGATTCCCCTGGCAATGCTGACACAATAAAAAAAAAATAAGGAAAAGAAATTTTGAAATACAGTGAATGTAAAAATTACAGAAGTACTATGTAAACTACATGAATTAACCTGTTAAATTAATGTATAGCCCAATGATAAATTTGTATCGGTTATACCAGGTGCGTTTCTGCCTTTTTCAATAATTTCAACATACTGTATACAGGGTTACTTTAAATTCACCACGTTTTAAATTCGCACAATCAAGAAGAGGGCGAAAGGGGCAAAAATAAAACGGGGCCGGGCGACAGTTTCCCTGTGTACAGTATTTTACAAATGTAATCTTTATGTTTTATATCTGTTTTAATTTACAATGTCATCGAGGCATCATCAGTTGGTAGGCAGTAGAGATAATAACATTTAAAAATTTGAATGAGAATTCAAGAAATAAATAAAGTATGCAAAAAATTTACATTTGTACTAAAGCAAACAGATTGAAATAGGTACCTCCTTTTCAAATAGCAAAATTCTGTGAAAGTATATTAGCTATTAGTTCATTAGATGATATGTATGTACAAAACAATGATTATCTGATTTTCAGTATTTCCATTGATAAATACGTTGTATAACAGATCACACAATGAAATTTGAAATGCGCATACAAAATGATTTAGTTGTTTCGGTTTTTCCATAGCTAATTACAAGATCACAATTAAAACAAAATTTGAAATGTTACTATTTACAAAACAATTAGTACAAAATGATAAGATGATTTTCAGTCATTACAATAAAAGAAGATTTGCAGGAAGTCTGATTTGTTTCCATTATAATTTTAAACAAGAGGACCAGTGGCCTTATAGGTCACCTGAGCATTAACTTTCCAGTTATTGAATTTGATTCATGTTTTAAGCCAGATGCTATGGCATTCACAATTTTGAAAGAGGCATCATTGATCATCATAACAATACACTTAGCAGTTGCTTAGCTTGGATACTTAATACCCATGGGCGGGGAAGGGGAACAAAAAATGCATTTCAACTAATCAGTAATATTCAGCAATAATTAGTAATGCCCTTAGCACACATGAACCCCTGATCCTTAGGCATAGATCCACACACTGCACAATTTTTGAAAAGGCATACTTGCTTTTCAAAAATATTTGATTAATACCAAGGAGCAGATTTCGCAGCTAGGATAAGGCTGTCCGTGTATTTCATAAGCAAATAATTTAAGTTTTTCTGAGATTTTTGTAAATTGTAGAGATATAACTTTAAGTAAACTTTAACTTTTGATGAAATATAAAAAAAATGAATATAATTGAGATGTAATTTTTCAATTCATATTTGTCGCACTATAGGAACTTCGTCCTCATTATCCCCCCCCCCCCCCGACCTATCTTCTTTGTAACTTAACTTGTATGAATTAAAGTCAAAACATATGATAAAAAAAAACAAAAATGTTTTTGAGCACTGAGAAAATCCAGTTCATTTTGAACATAGCGTATCTTACATGTACATAAGATTACCCCCCCCCCCAACAAAAATTAATGAGAACATAATAGAACTTAACAGAAACGTTGTTTCCTTTATATTTGGAAATACATGCTATTTTGGTCAAATTATGATACATGTATAATGTTTTGAAATCTCATTTTTTTTCAAATCGTGTTATTCATTAATATTTTACTGGGAAGGGGGGTGTAAGGAAGTGTGGCGGTCGGCCGGGTTCGATCGCCGGTGGTCAGATAGCTCAGTTGGTAGAGCACCTGATCGGAGTTTCAGGGTTCGAATCCCGGTCTGGTCCGCTGCATTTTCTCCTCTCACGTTACATTTGGTGCCGTGCCGTGCCATGCCCTGGAATTGACAGGTGAAAGACCTGCCAGGGATGAGCCTGGGTTGGGATCTTTGGAGGGCCAAAGACCTTGAAGGAGGGAGGAATGTGGCGGTCGGCCGGGTTCGATCGCCGGTGGCCAGATAGCTTAGTTGGTTTTGAGCACCTGACCGAAGTTTCAGGGGGTCCGGGTTCGAATCCCGGTCTGGTCCGCTGCATTTTCTCCTCTCCCGTTACAGAGGCAATCATTTAATCATTATATCATGTTTTAATTCTAGTTCTTGATCTTAGAATTTGAGATATATTTGAAAACTCTAATCTTTGCCTAAATAGAGCTGTCATTAGCTGAATCAGCACTTTTTATGTCAAATTTGCATCGGGATCAAAATTGAAAAAAATGTGTTTCACATTGGCGTCAAAAAAAAAGACTGAAAGAGGGCAGTTGTACACGTACGCTGAGATTTGATTCAAAATGTAGTGCCCATAATATTCGACAAACACTACTAACAGTCGTGACACGAAAAAGTAGGTAAGTTATATCCATAATGTTCTGTTTTCTGTTATCTTAAAAGCAAATTGTTTGAAAAAATTACGTGTAATTAAGATGCCTGGACAGAAAAAGATGCAATAACAATGAAGAATCGATCTCAGTTATCCTTTTTAGCTCACCTGAGGCAGTGCCCAGAGTATGGGGACAGCAGGTACATACAGGGCAGTGTCCATGCAGAGTATAGGCCGAGCAGGTACACACAGAGCAGTGTCCAGGGTATGGGCCCAGCAGGTACATACAGGGCAATGTCCAGAGTATGTGGACAGCAGGTAGGTACAGGACAATGTCCATGGTATGGGCCCAGCAGGTCCATACAGAGCAGTGCACTATATATGGCCCAAGGATGGTGGGAAGTCCCTAAAAGCTTGTTTGGTTTAAAAAATTGAAGTTAATCCACTTGCTGATACTAAGGCTGCAAATTTTGACTTATGCTCAACACTCAAGGCAATCAATCAGCAATCTTTTGTGCCAGCTATCTATACTGCTTCACGGGTCCTTGGTTTACATCTAATCATAGGGTCTGGTCTACATGTCCCATATTGGGAATTGAACCTGCAATTTAAGGATCAACTCTGTATTCTGCGACTGTAGAGCAGACTCTCTCACCACTGTGTCATGCAGACAAGTTATTAGTTATTGAGAGCAAGAATAAAGTGATTTCACCTTATACACACCAACTTTTGACTAGCTACATGTATTATACACTGACTTTACATGTACAGTATCCTCTAAAAGTACATTTTAATTCAATTAACATCATCATCTGATGATAAATAGACATGTAAACTAATTAATTCATTGCTAATAAGTAATTGATCATTTTTTCAGCTGAGCAGTCCTGTAGTTGTTCTAACCAAGAAGTGGTAGAATGAGGGTAAATCAGAGTGTATAGCAGCCCCAGCAGGTGCCCCCCCCCATGGCCAATCACAGTTTTACATGGAAATATATATTAAGAAAATTCTTTAAAAATCTCCTTCTCAAGAACCACTGTGCAAGAAGAGATGAAACTCATAGGGAAGCATCTTTAGGTAGTGTAGATACAATTTTTTTTTAATCATGACCCAGGGGGGTATGGCGGGGCATCAATGTCTGATCAAAGTTTTAATAGAAATATATAGGAAAATTCTTTAAAAATCTTCTTCTCTGGAATAGCAAAGGCAAGAATGATCATATTTTTATGAAAGTATCTTCAGGTAGTGGCAATTCAGTTTTGTTCAAATCATGAGCCCTGGGGATAGGGCCAGGCCAATATGGCTGATCAAAGTTTCACATAGAAATATACAGGAAAAAATCTTTAAAAATCTTCTTCTCAAAAATTAACAAAGGCATGATGATCATATTTATATGTCAGCATCTTCAGGTAGTGTAGATTCAGATTTGTTCAAATCATGACCCCTGGGGGTAGGGCAGGGCCACAATGGCCGATCAAAGTTATACATAGAAATATATAGGAAAATTTGTTAAAAATCTTCTTCTCTGGAAAAGCAAAGGCATGAATGATCATATTTTTATGGAAGCATCCTCAGGTAGTGGACATTCAAAGAACTTTATTCGGTAATAACCAATATTTGCCCCCAAATCAAACTTTGATGGAGATATATTTAATTAAGTTCTTAAACAGGGGAGTATATGCTGACTTCAAAGCACTGAATATTTTTATAAGTAATGACGTCATATGTACGTAATGACGTCACAAACATGACGTAAATTTCAGTTTTTTATGAATTTTACAGAAAAATGTACATATTCCGTCAATATTTTGAGTAAAAGTCACCGAGCGCATATGTGTTCAGGATCAATATCTTGATATAATGTGTAGAATCATAATATCAATGAAATATGTCAATATTGTTCCTGAACAAACTTGCGCTCTATAAATTTTAAAGCATAAATTGTTGAAATTTTGTCCATTTTGTCCTCTTTCTGAAAAAGGATATAAAATCGACTAGTTTGTGACGTCATTAAATAAAAAATTGTGAATACACTGCTTTGAAACTAAAATATTTTCTGTTAATTCATATTTCTTATACAATTTATTGAATTCAGCACATTTCAGGAAGTTTTCAAAATTTGACTTTTGTGGGGGCATGTATATGCAATATACCGCATATAGTTCTTTGTTCAAATCATGACCCCAGGGGGTAGGGTGGAGCCACGACATGGAATCCGAGTTTTACATAGAAACATGTAGAAAAAAATCTTTAAAAATCTTTTTTTCAAAAATAGCAAAGCCATGATTAATCCTATTCATATGGAAGCATTCTCAGGTAGTCTAGATTCAATTTTGTTTGAATCATGTCCCCTGGGGGTAGGGCAGGGCCACAATGTAAGTTCAAATGTAAAGGGCAATAAAACCACAAGTAGTCAAAGAAATTTGCAAGCATCCTTAGTTAGTGTAGATTCAAGTTTGTTCAAATCATACCCTAGCTCTCCTTTTTAAGGATTGTTTGGGACCACTATTGGGTTTCAACTTTTCAATAATAAACTAATTTATGCTTTTTTCCTAGCCACATTGCTCAGGTGAGCGATGTGGCCCATGGACCTCTTGTTGTTTAAACAGGCATATTATGACATAGAGCTGCTGTCTCTACATGAGACCGTACAACAGAAGGTCGTGACCCTGCTGAGTGACCCAAACAACAGAAAGTCGTGACCCTGCTGAGTGACCAAGACAACAGAAGGTCGTGACCCTGCTGAGTGACCCGGACAACAGAAGGTCAAAACCCTGCTGAGTGACCCAGACAACAGAAGGTCATGACCCTGCTGAGTGACCCGGACAACAGAGGGTCGTGACCCTGCTGAGTGACCCAGACAACAGAAGGTTGTGACCCTGCTGAGTGACCCAGACAACAGAAGGTCGTGCCCCTGCTGAGTGACCCATACAACAGAAGGTTGTGACCCTGCTGAGTGACCCATACAACAGAAGGTTGTGACCCTGCTGAGTGACCCATACAACAGAAGGTCGTGACCCTGCTGAGTGACCTGGCCAACAGAAGGTTGTGACCCTGGTGAGTGACCCGCACAACAGAAGGTCGTGACCCTGCTGAGTGACCTAGACAACAGTGTTAAACAGACACTTCTGGAGAACGGAATCACAAAGCTGTGTGTCTTCTTTGGCAGGCAGAAAAGTACTCACTTTACCAAAACCAGGCATTGAAAAATACTTTTCTCAACAAAATATAATTCGACAATCTGATGTAAAGTTAAAACATGTTTGAGTTGTGGTAGTTGTTTGAAGTTTTATCTCATTCTCTAGCCTGATATAGAGTAAATGTAGTTTAGGATGGTTGATTTGAATTTTTAGAAATGTTAATTTCTGTATTTAATTTTCAGCCAATGGTGTGCTGCTGTCTCACATGATTACTTTCCTGAATGACAAGGTAAGATAACTCAAGTTTTGTTAAATAATAATTAAAACTATAAAGTCCTATGTGAAATTAAGAAAACTTTCTCTGATCAGTGATGTACTTGTACCGTATGTGTACTGTATACAGGGTTATTTTCACCAAGTGTTATTTTCGCCCTTTCACAGTTGCAAACAATTTTCCCCAATTTGAATTCATCCAGTTATAGCTTTGTTTAAGAAATTATACTGAAATCTTTGATTTCGCCCGAATGAGGGTAGGTGCACGTGGAGAGGGCAAAAATTACTCAGTATACGGTATTTAGAATAGCAGGCTTCATATTTTAGAGACTTTGGAACAGACGATAATGTGCTAATTTATGAATACAGTAAAACTCGTTTTTAATTAGTATGAACACAGATATTGCGAATCCACAGATATAGTGAAGTTATCATGGATCCTCCAGCTATATTAATTAATTTAACTAATTCCTTATACGGATATAATGAATAAGGGATACAGAGAATTAATTTCAGAGGTCCCTGTGACTTCATTATAACCGAGTTTTACTGTATCTCTAAGAAATCTTTTATAAATACAATTAAAATATGACACAGACATGTGTAGCGCTAAATTCATGATAACACCAACAACTCGTACCCAGTGATTGCGCTAAAATTTGAATATGCCAAATTACACTGTATGTACACCTACATTATATTCTTGTTTTTCAGACTGACTGGCACTCCGTGGCTCCTTCTTTGACAACATTGTGGGTGTGGCCGCCTACGTCAGATGGCAGAGCTGCTCTATACTGAAGCCACTTATTAACCAGCTACGGAAATTGGGTGATAATAATTATAGCCAGTCAAATCTTACAGAAACAGTGTTAATTAAATCCCCAATGGAAATAATGATTCCACAGTATAAACTTCATTTTCTGTTTCAGGGCCTTAGTGACTCAGAAGAATCTGTTGTACACAAGACGTTAGGTGCTGTACAGGCTCTTACAGAATTAGGTCTCATTCAGAAATCCATGCTCCAGGAGTTCCTACTTGAAGTGATCCCTTTTTTGGCACACCCTGTAAGTAACCAATGAAAAAAAATGTGACCAAATAATTACATATATTTTATTTCATATATTTATTTAGGCTATTTTAATACCATGCTCACTTTTGTTAACTATTCGATTATTTGAATCAAGTGAGTATAATTCTAACATTTTGTAAAGGCTTTTGTTGAACACTTGTTTGTAATCTTATTCCTGACTACAAACAGAAACAGAGAGTGATTATATACATGACAATGTGCCAGATAATAAATATTCATGATTTTTAGTGGTGGGAAATTCAAAAGATTAATTTTTTAATTACCAGCAAAATTGCAAGTATGAAATAACTACACATTATGCTTCTTTCAGATTTTTCTGCTGAATGCCCTTCAGAATGCATGTCTTTGACAACATCCTGTCTCAGGGACAGTCAGCCGAACCGAGTGTTTGATATTCTGAGGGTCAGTCAGCCGGACCGAGTGTTTGATATTCTGAGGGAGAAGCAGTAATATGAGGTCCATCAGCCAGCAGGCCGGGGCATCACATTATCTACTCCGAGCTAGTTGAGACAATGACCCAGGTGATTCAGTATTCAGTCAATTTAACAATTAGGTTAAAAAAAAAAAAGAAGCATGACATTTTCTCTCACATCTTAATCAAGGTTTAGTGTGTCTTAGTGTTTTACTGGAGGAAAATCCTATTGTAAGTACAATGTATTTATAATTATTGTCTTTCATACATGTATGACATATTAAGGCTCATATTCCAAATATTTCAGTGACTTGAGAGCTGTGACACCATCAGTTTCTGATCCTGAGATGCATTTGTTTTCAGGCCTTGAAAGATTACATCATGAAATTAAACAGATCTAGGGCAGGTTACTAAGCAAGCTCTCAACTTCATTTCTGACAGTAAAATTTGTTCATAAACTGTTCATGTTTATTTCTCTATTCTAATAAATTCAGAGAAGCTTTCACTATTGGAGTTCCTGATTGTCTCACTTAAGTCTGTAAAGACTGACAACAAGAGGCTGGGGATTCTGTATTGTGGGCCCAGGTAAAGCCATAACCAGGAGACATGCTGAATTACTGAAACAAAAAAGGATCCAAAACAGCCGGATGTGGATCTAAGTACTTCCAGGTTTGTGTACTGTAAATACTACTGACTGTACACAGTGTTTTCATGTTGTTAGTTAATATCAGTAGTGCAAAACTCAGTTGGATCATTAAAATTTGGAGCACGGGGGTTACAATTTAATTCAAAACATTTGCGTATAATTACTTATAGATAAGTTTTTACCCCGATATATGGAGAAATTTTGCTTCCAAAAAATGAAAACATTGATATTCATTGATGTAGTTAATTTTTTTTTTTGTTTTCTAGTCGTTCTTCTAAAAAGACAAATCCAAAGGACCAATCTGTAAACATGGTGAGTAGCTGTATTATAGTGTTACTCTACATTTTTTTGCTACAGATGGGAATAACTCTTCTAAGCACTAACATCTATCTTCTCTATGTAATACTATTCAGCAATGACTTTATTGAAATTTAATTGCCTTAGCCAAATAATTTGTAATATTATATACTAGTACATGTATATAATTAAAGAATGTGTTATCTATTGGCAGGATTCAAGTTTCTCAAGACCATGCATTCTTTGCCCACGGCCTCCAATGATGGTACAGTCAAATTATGGGAGTCTGAAAAACTGGAGGAAAACAGCTAGTGTTGCTAACTGCTCTAAACAGACCCTCAAGAATACTTCTGTACCTGGTAAAATAGCAAAATACTTTAATATACACTGCATTATGTCATTGATTTCTTTTAATGAATATCCAATTTTCTTTAAATTGTCAGAAAAAAAAATTAAAAATGTATATGTGATTTTTTATAATTATCTGATTTATATTTGAATATAAATATGTTTTAGTGCTGATTATTGCTTTGTTTGACTAGGAGAGAAAGTGAAAGGTTTAGTTTTCTGTGAAGCTCCTGGATCTGCTCTCTCTCTCTGGCCACATTCACCAACATGGGGGACAATCAACATTTACAAGTCAGTAGTGTGTTTTATATATTGAAGTTAGTAATAAATGAATTGTTTCTTTTATTGATCAGATTTGTTTTTTTAACAGGATAGAGACAGGAAAGGCCACTTGGAACAAAGCTATTAATGTGGACAAGTCTGACTATGGAAACATAGTAGATCTCACATTAACTTTGATACAGGTACAGCACTGTACAAATATATGTATCTTGACATGCATGATTATTTAGATATGTACATGTATTATGAAATAGGCAATTTTATTTATTGTGTAAAGTGAGAAAAGAATTATGAAGAACAAAGGAAAATGTTTAAATGTTGTCTAGAAGTTTTTGTTCAACAATAGCAAAGCAATGATTGGTCATGGGACTACTTTTGAATTAAAACTTTTCAATAATAAACCAATTTCTCATTTTTCTTAGCCACAATGCTTAGGTGAGTGATATGGCCCAAGGGCCTCTTGTTTTTTCAAAGAGCTACATTTCTGCAGCTAGGGTATAGAACTGATTTTTTAAATGAATTTGGTTTGATATTATAGATTCTCCTACACTCTCACCACATAATGTCCCATCATCAGCCACGAAATCCTGACCTAGTCAAAGATCACCACGTAATGTCCCATCGTCATCGACCACTTAGTCCAAGAGAAAAAGATCTGACAGAAACCAGTACTCAGAAACATGACATCATCGGCTTTGCCGACCCGTGACTTGATTTAGAAAGACCCTGACCTCGAATTCTCTGTGTGTAAGGATTAAAGAGATAGGGGTTTAGAACTGATTTTTTTTTACTGAACATGGTTTAATACATTTATATGTATCTATAATCCCTCATTTCTTTGTATTCTCTTCACATCTACCCTTAATAAATGTAAGTATTTGTGAAGCCTTATTTTCATTGCAGATTTTTATAAAGTTTATATAATATGAGTTTATTTCATTCAGTACAGTTATAGAATTATACAATTGTAAACCACTTCAACAGTTGGGTAATTTTATTGACAGGATACATGTAGTACTAGGGACATGTATATTTAGCAGTGTGTTTTTAATAGTTTAGAATTAATTTAGATATTCATAAAGTAAATTTCTGTAGAAAGATCTTAGATGGGTCTACTTTATATTCACTATTTTACTATATTTTTGGGGGGGGGATCAAAACTGCAAAATTTCGTTAGCCAGAAAATATATGTAAACAAAACTTTCAGTGTCAAATTTTGTGAAAGTCAAAGGAAACTTTCACTCCCTTTTCTCTGTTTTGTAGATTGATTGTGCAATACAGTTTTTACTGGGCGTGATGCAGGACAAGCAGAAGAAAAACAACAAACACGCAGATCAGTTTCAGCGGATCTCAGAGACGCTGTCCATTCTTAACTGGGTCAATGAGACTGAAGAGTCAGTTGTTAGAATGAGATGTTACCACCGGAGAACCGACTGGAACCGCTGAGTCTGAAGAGTCAGTTGTTAGAACCAGATGTTACCACCGGAGAACCGACTGGAACCACTGAGTCTGAAGAGTCAGTTGTTAGAACCAGATGTTACCACTGGAGGATTGACTGGAACCACTGAGTCTGAAGAGTCAGTTGTTAGAACCAGATGTTACCACCGGAGGACCGACTGGAACCGCTGAGTCTGAAGAGTCAGTTGTTAGAATGAGATGTTACCACCGGAGAACCGACTGGAACGGCTGAGTCTGAAGAGTCAGTTGTTAGACCCAGATGTTACCACCGGAGAACCGACTGGAACCGCTAAGTCTGAAGAGTCAGTTGTTAGAATGAGATGTTACCACCGGAGGACCGACTGGAACCGCTGAGTCTGAAGAGTCAGTTGTTAGAATGAGATGTTACCACCGGAGAACCGACTGGAACCGCTAAGTCTGAAGAGTCAGTTGTTAGAATGAGATGTTACCACCGGAGAACCGACTGGAACCGCTAAGTCTGAAGAGTCAGTTGTTAGAACCAGATGTTACCACCGGAGAACCGACTGGAACCGCTGAGTCTGAAGAGTCAGTTGTTAGACCCAGATGTTACCACCGGAGAACCGACTGGAACCGCTAAGTCTGAAGAGTCAGTTGTTAGAACCAGATGTTACCACCGGAGAACCGACTGGAACCGCTAAGTCTGAAGAGTCAGTTGTTAGAATGAGATGTTACCAATGGAGAACCGACTGGAACCGCTAAGTCTGAAGAGTCAGTTGTTAGAATGAGATGTTACCACCGGAGAACTGACTGGAACTGCTGAGTCTGAAGAGCCAGTTGTTAGACCCAGATGTTACCATCCGAGGACTGACTGTAACCACTGAGTCTGAAGAGTCAGTTGTTAGAACCAGATGTTACCACCGGAGGACTGACTGGAACTGCTGAGTCTGAAGAGCCAGTTGTTAGACCCAGATGTTACCACCGGAGGACCGACTGGAACCACTGAGTCTGAAGAGCCAGTTGTTAGAACCAGATGTTACGACCGGAGGACTGACTGGAACCGCTGAGTCTGAAGAGCCAGTTGTTAGACCCAGATGTTACCACCGGAGGACCGACTGGAACCACTGAGTCTGAAGAGCCAGTTGTTAGACCCAGATGTTACCATCCGAGGACCAACTGTAACAGCTAAGTCTGAAGAGTCAGTTGTTAGAACGAGATCCGGATGAAGAGCAGGGGAACCAGTAAAATGTAGCAGTATATGCGGTTGATATAGAACTGGACACATTATATTTTTATTTTTTAACTTAATTAATTTGCTATATGGTCTTTATGTTTTAACTTTTATGATATCTAAAATTTCAAGCTTCCTTTGGAATGTATTATATTAGAGAAATTGGATAACATACGTTAAAGTGTAACAAATTGTGTTATCAATTTAGGAAATTAACTTTTAATTGACTGGGTTTTTATTTAGTCTAAAGGGATAATTTCAAAATTTTACCATTTATATTTTCCTTTTTTTTTTAAATTACTGCAAGTGTAATCTAGTCTGCATCTCTATATTATGTACATACAGATCCTTGACATATGGCTCTGTAATATCTCTTGATGTGAGAAGATAATAGAATTATACATGTATGCATTTCCATATTGATGCCTATAGCCAATTTAAGGTCACTAAAGTCCATCTATTATAGGTTGTTTTTCCTACTTTTTCCTTACTGCTTTTAGGAATTAAACCAGTTTTAGGTATGATGTCTATTGGCCAATTATTCAAGAGAGTTATTGCCCTTAGACCGTTGAATTTTTTTTTTACTTTGTTGACCTAGTACATGTAGACAAATTGTATTAGACAGAGTGTATATGTAGGGTTATGTTTCAAATTACTGTTTCTTGATATTGATGGCAGTTATAAGATTAAAGTTAAGGACAAGTGATACAAACAAATGAATGTATGGATAGATATAATTTATTTTATTTTCTTTGTGTATGATGTAAAATATTGAATTGCTAAAATGAAAATAAATTGAATTGCTACTATAGAGATTGTAAATTATTGACTTTTTATGAATTGTTCAGAATTTTATCTTTTTTGCCATCTTCCTTCGAAATATTTACTATTTATCACTTTATAATATGACATTATTATGAAACTTTAGGATGAAAAAGTGCAAATTTGTGCTGTTTTTGTGAGAACAAAAGTTTGTAGGTTTTTTAATTTTTTATTAAAGTTTTCAGGAGAGTTATTGCCCTTAGACTGTGAAAATTTCTAATTGTTCACTGTTGAGCTGGTATAAATGAACTATTCTGTAGAATTTATTTTTAATTAAATATTATCATCATTAATTCATAATTAGACCATACAAATTTTTTAATACATGTCAGCTTTAAATCATTCTCTTCAAGTTTTGTGAATTTAGAATGTTAGAATTTAATAAATTATATTTCAATGTATTGTTTTTAATTATTATTTGTCCAGGCATTGCTGTTGTAATGTATTTGTTTGGGAATATTAACTTTCATGTAAATTAGTTGAATCTGATTGGTCGAGCAACATTTGTTAAAAAAACACTATTACCTGCTGAATAATAAAGCCACGCCCTCCAGCGTAGCAACAGTCAACATTGCATGACGACGGGTGATATTCCAAAAAATAGCGACTGTGCAGAATTCATGCAGGCACAGTTCACTGTTATATGTATTTGTATAAAATATTCAGTATAATATAATAAATGTTGCATGTAGCTGAGTGTAACATTGAAAATTTTCACCCCTCGCCTAGGTTGACAATGGTTTAAAATTCTTTGGGTGAAAATTTTAAATGTTACACTCAACTACATGCAATATTTATGTAATGTCTTGTAATTTTGGAAATGCATGGATTCATTTTTTATGGAAAAAAACTTTTTCAAATGATAAAAATCAAGAAATCTTCATTGGATTTTGTTCGAATTATCAGATTAAATCAAATAATGAATATCTGTACATGCATTTGTAAAGTTCTTTAAAATTCAAATTTCAAATTTGTATGTTTTAATTTTATTGATATTAAAACATTCAGTACACATACATGGCGCAGTGGAAGAGCGCCTGCTTTATAGAGTCAAGGAGTGAGGTTCAAATCCTAATTCCAGCTGACGATTGATCTTCCTCCTGGAGACTTTTGTCAATCAGGCGGGAGAACATAGCATCCATCAATTGTCTTTTGTAAACTTTCACATTTTAGATTTACTAATCTGGAACTAATTTCACACAACTTGGCTCACAGGATCCTTGGGTAAAGGGGATTCAAGTTTGCTTATTAAATGCTTATTAAATGATTTTCAAATTTATTAAAGATAATTACAGTCAAACCTCATTATCTCCATCTTGATGGAACCGAGAAAAATTCGAGATATCCAAGGAATTAAGAAATATGTGGTCTGGTCAGGAGTACCTGATCACTTCGACATATATTATCTATGGTATTCAAGGTATCTATGTTTGAGATTCATGTCCCAAAGTTCAAATGTATAAGGATCAATTCTGTGGTGACATTTTAAAATCTCAAGAACTACATGTAGTGTGGACCAGAAATAATTAACTTCAGTATGAAATCTTCCTCAGATATAAAGAGCAGATTCTAAATTGTTATAGCTGCAGATCTGTAGCTATCCGGAAAAATATATATTGATAGTCCGGATAGCTACAGTGCCATCCATTTAAAAAACTGTATATTTATTGCGCACAAAAAAGTGCACACGGTTCTTGATTATTTTTTCCAAATTCTTACCTCAATTGTAAAACAGGGAAGATTTTAAAAAGTTTCTCTCTTTTTTATCAACTACATTCGTAGTTGACATCTGAACGAAGCATATTGGACCGAATTATCTTTGAAACCAAAATGGCAGTATATATAATCGAAATGTTCGATGATTACAATATCAGGGTCAGGAGGACTATTAACAACAATTATGACGAATGTTATACCGTAAATCTGGAAATTTTTGCTGTAGATAAATTTTTAGCAAATTTGCGAGTTTATTGCATTCGCAAAAATATTTTTCTTAAAAATAAATTACCAATAAGAAAATGTAAACAAAGCAGTGGTAATTCGCAAAATTTAGAAACATAAAAATTAATCAACACCATTTTGACCCGAATTCGCAAAATAAAATCGACGTAAAAATTTCCAGATTTACGGTATTGTGGAAAGAGTCAAAGAATATGTTAGGAACACACGGTTAGTAATATTTTGAGATTGCAGTTTTAGGAACATGGAGAAATAAATCGAAAACCGAGCGCACTTTTTTGTGCGCAATAAATATACAGTTTTTTAAATGGGTGGCACTGTAGCTATCCGGTCTATCAATATATATTTTTCCGGATAGCTACAGATCTGCAGCTAAAATTGTTAATGAGAAAAATGATTTTAAAATCTCTTCAAGATGAACAAGACCATGATCACCAAAATTAAGATGCATTCATCAAAGCTTAACATGATTAGTAAAGGGACAAGCGGCAATCCTTGGCTGACTCCGGTATGCTCCATTCAAACCTCGAATGTGATTGGTGGAGGAATGCGCATCACAGGTCGATAAAATTCTCTGATGGAAACTGCCGTAAAATGTCACTCATTTCATATTTTGCTCTGTCGTAAATTCTTGGAGTAGATTCTTTATTTATTATTGATTCTTCATTGTATATTGCTTTTAATGACAACCATAAGTTAGTAAGTCTTTGAAAGCAAGAACAAAGTGTTTGGGGTGCCACAAAAGTATAACACTTGAATGAAATTCAAATAAGATCACATGACTGAATCGACAAGAAGGCAGAACACTGACGTCCGAGGTTAGTTCACTGCGAGGTACAAGCGTACGAGCCACCCGAGAAGACTGGAGTGGTAAAAGGAATGTGTCTGCCATATTCGATAGGACTCCCTATATATCTGAGGACCCCTTTATAATGAGCAGCTCACTTCGTCACCGTTAAGTGTAATCAATTATCACTGGTTCGATCATGCTATACAGCACTCGTTGCAACAGAAAATATCTTTATAACTGTGTACTTTTTCTAATGCAGGTGAGTAAAAACCAAAGAGACTTACAAACAGTTGTACAGGTCAGCTGCAGTACATACAAACAAACATAAATATACGTAATTGCAATAAAATGTTAACAAAGGTAATGCAAGATAACCAGGAGGAACAGGGGTCGCCATTCCACGCCGATACTCGTGACGATAACACAGTCAGGTGTGACAATAAAGCAGTCAGGTGTAATAAATGCATAGAGTATACCCTGGTGTTGATATATTCCATGGATAGTAAAATTGACAATGGCATATGTCTTAATTTATGAGTCGTGTATTTATATGTGAACATTATTAGTGCAGAAAGGAGTTGACTAGAAATGTGATAAACAGTGATGAATTTTTTGAAAACTGATCGTATTTAATAAGCATTAAATTGTCCTTCTTATTACTCTGGGGCCAAATTTGTATTGTATACTTAATATTATAACATTCCCGTTGAAAATGAAAAAAAAACTGACAGGATCATCATATTGTCTCTTTTCAATAGTGTATACAATTGTACACTGATTGGGTGCCAATATATCCATTCAATTTCCAAAATTTTGGTTTCAAGAACTGGTACATTTTTATACCCCCGCTCTGAAGGAGAGGGGGGTATACTGTTTTACCCTTGTGTGTTTGTCCGTCTGTCTGTCTGTGTGTCCGTCCGAAACAAATTTTCGTCGCAGTTTTCTCAGCAACTACTCATCGTAGATGCTAGAAATTTTAACACAATCTTCTCTGTGGTATTCCATATGGTGGGATACATTTTCGCTTAAATGTGATATCAACTTCCTTTTTGTCTGTGCGTCTGTCCGTTTCATACATTACAAATTTTCGTCGCAGTTTTCTCAGCAACTACTCATCGTAGATGCTTGAAGTTTAAACACAATTTTCTCTGAGACATGCCATATGGTGGGATACATTTTTGCTTAAATCCAATGTCAACTTCCTGTTTGTCTGTGCGTCTGTCTGTTTCATACATTACAAATTTTCGTCACAGTTTTCTCAGCAACTACTCATCGTAGATGCTTGAAATTTTAACACAATCTTTTCTGAGACATGCCATATGGTGGGATACATTTTCGTTGAAATCTGATGTCAACTTCCTGTTTGTCTGTGCATCTGTCTGTTTCATACATAACAAATTTTATTTGCAGTTTTCTCTGCAACTACTCATTGTAGATGCTTGAAATTTTAACACAATCTTCTCTAAGGCATGCCATATGTTGGGATACATTTTTTTAAAAAATCGGATATCAACTTCGTGTTTGTCTGTGCTTCTGTCTGTTTCATAAATAACAAATTTTCGTCGCAGTTTTCTCATTACCTATTCATAGCAGATGCTTCAAATTTTATTACACTCTTTGTTTAGGCATGTCATATGGTGGGATTAATTTTGATACGAATCTGATGTCAACTTCATATTTTTCTGTGCATCTGCCTGTAATTGAACTTGTGTGTATTAACATGATAGTGC